ACGTTATGAACCCAGATGTGGGCTTGTACTGTGAAAGGACCGCAGGAAGGCCAACGGCAACCTGCGGCTCGACACAGAAATGCCACCCATCTCGGAGCGCGGAGGAGACGGCCCTCGCTGCAGGGCTCCGGCGAGACGGCACCGGGGACTCCGAGTGCCATGCTGCCGAGAGATGCCAATAAACCGAGGAAGTTCAGAGAAGAGCAACCACACCATGCGAGAGAGGCAAGCAGCAGTCTCCGTGCATCGATCGGCAGCGCTAGATGCAACCAGGCAGACAGGAGCTACCCGACAGGCCAGACGGGCGTAGCCAGGACAGTGGGAAGAGCTGATGCGCGTGGGAACGTCCCTGCGAGACGCTGCGGAAGGGGCTCTGGCAGGAGCGGTGGAGTCTCACCGCACGGCAGACAAACTGCTGGGCCCTGCCATGCGAGGACTGGCTGAGCCGGGCCCTGGGCTGGGGGCCAGGGCTCCCCCAGCTCCGACGCCTGCCCCCGCAGTCCTAGGACCAGAGAAGAGCGAGCCCAGTGCCGAGAGGACCGTGTCTCCACTGCTCGGATCCCAAGACACACAAGTAACACCTGCTCCTGAAGATCAGGCTTGGGCTAACGGGGTGGCCGCAGCGCCACGCTGCAGCTGAATGTCCCGTGGCGTGGGGAGGAGAGTGGTCCCAAGGTACGAAGGGCGCCTCGGCACCTGACTGCTGCTGGATGTCCCTGGGATGGGGCTTGGCACCCTTACCCTCGCCGCCGAGCCCTGGCCCCTCTACAGCGCTCGGAGGGCAGCGCTGTGGAGGGGACGGGCCGCACGGTGCAGCCCCTTTCCCCAGCCTGGGTCAGACCTACATGGGCTGCATCTGGCCTGGGGGGGCGGAGGGTGCCAACCCCTGCCACAGGAGCTCAAGGCACTTTGGAAATCCCTGGCACCTCAAGGATGAAGAGGAGCGACACCGAGCTGCCCAACCGCCTGCAGCCCGAAGATCCCGAGCTGCTCCGCCGCGCCCCCTTTTCTCTCCTTTCCTATCCTCGAGCCTTCTCTCCGTCTCAGCACAGAGTATCTTAGCCATTAAGTGCTCGACAAAACGACGTATATTAAAAAAGGGCAGGGGGAGGGGTGGTAATAGATTTCCGTCAGGATGTGCCTGACCTGTTTTTTTCAATTTCAGTAATTAGAAAGGCAGTGGGCCTGTAGGAATTATTCATAAGCTGCAGGAGCTGTGCAGTATACATTTATGTTAAACATGTCAAATCCGATGGAAATCATGCCTGCCAGCACCAGACTCCATAAACACACTTTTCTGCAACAATTTCCCAGCTCTTGGCAGCCCGTTAATACCTCCTTTAATAGCAATCTACCATGGACTGGAATCAGGGATGCTCCATTGCACTAATTGCTCCGTGTTAGGTGAGCATCATGGATTTAAAAAAAAAAAAAAAAAATCATTTAAAAAAAAAAAAAAACCACAACCCTTCAGGCTACTCCTCTAGAAATATTTCATTTCAATCTATACTTTAAGTAGGGATATTTTTCAAAAATGCTGACATACTAAGTCTATACAATTGATAACATGCCAAGAAAGTCTCTCGTGCAGTGGGGTTGCTGGGGGATTGAGGTGGTCTTTCATATTTTCTGTTTAAAAATATTAAAACAAACCCAAAATTCTTCAAGTCTCCAATTAGTCTCCCCGGATCCGACTCGGGGCTTTAGGTGGAAGCCTACACTTCCGCTAGCGAACGTGAGCATCTCGAATGCAGTCGTGTTTTCATGCAGTGCAAACAATGTCAGGCAGCGACTGCATTCTCCTTGTGCATGTGGGACGAATCTCGTGTGACTCGCGCTACGAGGCTTTGCTCAGTGGCTGAGATTTGAGAGCTGCCTTTCTCCTCCGGCACTAAAATTGGAAAGAAGGAAGCAGGAAGCTCCACCTCCAGAAGCACTCAGCCTGCATCACTTGAGTGCTTAGAAGCTGTTTAATCTTAGTACTGGAGTGAGAAACAGAAAGGAACAGGCCCAATCCAGAAACAGGAAACATTAGCAATTTGCTGCTAACCCAATAAATAATTGATTAAAAAAAGTCACGCACCATCCTGAATCCCTATGAGAAGCTGCTGATTCTCACGAGCCTCTGGCCAGGTTCCCGGGTACGGCCCTACGGACAGCTTTCCGACTGGGGAATGCCAAAAAGAGACTTTTGGTGAACTGTCATGTTAAAGCATCTGTCATCTCCGACTGGGACGCTGTGACCCAGCACTGCTGCTTTTTGCCCAGTCTCAGAGGGGACTGGACTCGCATCCAAAGGAGCACAAATCCTCAATTATGCATTTTGATTTGGAAATGACTCTTCATACGTACAAGATGGCGAATGCTTCTGGGAGGTTACTTGAAAACAGAACTTCTCTGTTCAAGAATATCCTATTTTCAAATTAGAAATACAGGAAATTTTCAAAGGTCTGTTCTGAAAATGGACCGTTGTTATACATTTGCCATGAAATAGGAAAACCCAAAGTGAAGACGTTTTCCCCCTTCACAACAAGTCTCTTACACGCGACTACCTCTGCCGCTCCCTGCCAGGTAGCCGGGGCTGTCCTGATGCACTACTGTCCTGCCTCTGCAAACAACCGTCGTAAAACTTGACGTTTCCGCAGCAGCTTTTCATCCAAGGGCCTCACACTGCTATGCAGAAGTGGATGGTATTTACTCCGGTCTGCAGGTGGGAAACCGAATGCGCAAAACAGTGAAATAGTGGCTAAGCGCCACAAGGAGCCAACGGCAGAGCTAGGAGCAGAACCCGCTCTCTTGGCTTCCCGTTCAAAATCCTATTTACTAGCTCACAGGAGGGCCTGGGCCTGCCTTTCCTCCTTGTCCTGCTCTCCCACTGTTGTCGAGGGAGTTTGGGAAGCAGAAACCACGCGGGACTCTGCTGTACGATGACACGTGCTTTACAGTCGTATTTCTCTGGAATAAATGGATAGGGGATTACGTGCTAAGAAGCTGGGCTCCAAACGGATCACTTCAGCACATGCTTAAACTCCTCTGAAGTCGAGCCCTGACCTTGCAACTTGCTCTGCACAGACCTCACTCAGCGAGGTTGTCTAGGTGCAGGGGTCTGCCTGCGTGGACCCAGTTATGCGGTCTAGGCCTGCAGACAATTTTTACAGCTAGCCGGATTTGGAGCTGCTGTCCGGCAGGCTTCCTATCCATGCTCTGAATGGAGCTAGCACTGAGACCCGGCTTGGGATTTCACAAGGCAACGAGAACGTCAGAAATCTAAACCCAACATCCCGATTTTGTGCATGAATCGGGGATTTCAAAACCATTTCTTTTAAATGCATCCCTAAAAAACAGCCTGTGTGGAAACTCTCCTCTGAACTGCTGCAACCACCGCCACAAAAGCATCCTGCTGGGCCCCGAGATAGGGGGAGCCCCTTAACATTTTAAATAGTTCAAACAGGTCCTTGCACTCGTTGGCACTGCACTTCCTCTTCAGTGTTGCTGCCCATGCTCCTAGCTGGATGCCCGCTGGTAATTGCCCCATCGCAGTAGCGCTACAGGGCCCGGCTGCAGGTCGGGGTGGCACCGCACACACTCGCACAGGGCAGTCCCGGCACCCACGCCCAAGCAGTTTTGCCTGCTGGGGTTTACACAGCACGTGTCAAAGGACAACTGATCCTCTCGGTCTTGACAGGCCCTGCGGCAGTGAAGGGATCAAACCTCTTCATGGAGCTGAAACCAGAGATCACGCTCTGCCCGCAAGACCTGGGCGGGAAGGCTCTCTTCAGCTGCGGCTGGTCGGCAGGCAGCTCTCGCTGGAGCGGGACCTCCAGAAAGGGAGGCTGGCAGGGAAAGCGCTGGCTCTGCAGGCCAGGAAAAGCGCGGCGCTAAGGGACCAGATGTTTGTGTGGTTTCTTTGGTTACTCTGCAGACAAGGGAACATGCCTGGATCATTTATGCTCCCCCAGCGAAGGGGGGGCGCGCTGGGCTCTCTCACTTTGCCACGGAGGGAAGCCAGAGCTGCTCAGACTGGTCTCTACACCAAGGAGAAAAATCCCTCTTTCTTCCCATCCTGCAAGTGACCCCGGCTGGTCAGCAGGCTCCCAGCTGGAGAGAGAAGCGCACCGGCCTGCAGGGAGCCAAGGCAGCGCGGTTTCCTGCTCAACGCCACCAGGACTTTCCAGAGCTCCTTAACCGTCCTGGGCTGGGACGGTCCTGCCTTGAGCAGCAGGTTGGCCTGGGGTCCCACGCAGCCCTCCCCTGTGAGATCTCTTCCGTGGTAGCGAGCCCCTGGCCAGGGGAGCGGCAGAGCCGCGCACTTGTACGTGACCGACGTGCACGCAAAAGGACCCGTTAGATTTGAACCCGCCCGTGTATTTTCGATTTTGCGCGCGGTCCCACACATCTCTAGGGAAAAAGGGAAGTACGCGGCTGAAACTTTGCTTGCAAGGTCTTTGGGGCAGACGCCGTTTCTGCTGCGCACCTGCACAGCGGGGAGCAGGCCAACGAGGCTCGGGCTCTAGGAAACAAAGTGCCGTGCCGTCAGTCTCGACAGCAAAGTGTTAATGGAGAGCGGGAGCCTGCCGCCCTCGTGCCACGCCGCCAGGACTGCCTGACAGCGTCCCTTCAGTAAAGCAGCAGCTCGCTTCCTCCGTAACTTCCCGCTTCCCCCGTGACGTTACGACCGATTTGGAGAAGGACCACGCACGCGCGGGACGTGCTGTTTTCACGACCCCCCCTTTCTTCCCTCTCAGCTGTTTGCAAAGCCTAACGCACACCGTGGCACTGAATTCATGTTTTCAGGCTGAAACGAGGCAAACATTTTCCAGCGGTAACATGACCTAGCGGGGAGAGATGAGCGGCTGGAAGCCGAACCAGCTGTGGGAAACCGAGGGCGCTGGAACGTTCTCTGTCGAGAGGAAACAGAAACGGAAGAAAGCGGCAGCGTGGGTTTGCACGGGGCAGCACGCTGCGAGCCAGCTGTCCCGCAGCAAGGGAGCAGAGCCTACCTGTCCATTTGCTCGGGTCTTTGTCACTGCCACTCTCTTGCTCCTTAGCAGGCTCTTCAGGGTCGGCAGCCGTCTCACTGGCCCCTTCCACATCTTCAACTGCTTCTTCTGAAATGCAAGCAGTGAGAGAAAACCAGTAAGAGCAGAAGCAGTGACAGGAAGGGCTAACACAGCTGCAGAGCTCAGCACCGTCCCAACCCCGTCGCGCACGCGTGAAACAATGTCACGGCTGCGGCCGGCGATTCTGATTCACGCACGGCTATCCTGTGACGAGACGCGCGCGGACGCCGAGCGAGGTGGAGGGGTCCTTGCTGGGCGGCGCTGCCTGCACGCCTCGAGGGCTGGGACCGCAGGACACCAGCGTTTTTCCTGGCCTGCTCAAGCTGCGGCTGCCCCGAGGATGAATCCTGACCGGACACCCCCCCCCACGGCCCAGACTCCGACACGGAGCTGCACACAGCGTTTCTAGACGCAGACCCGCTTCGTCTCAAGGCTGGCTACACCTTCGACAGAAATGAAACAACGAGCCGTGAAATAACAGAAACAGGAAGAGGAACCCTGCCTTCTCAAGGCCTGGCTGCTGCTGGAGCAAGGACGGGCCTTCCTGCTGCGTGGAGCACCTGGACGACCGGCGTGCAGCGGCATTTACTCCCAGGGCCTGTTTCAACACTGCGAGTGCCGGAGGTTGCGGCGTGCTCCTGCCAACAGCCTGGCCTCCTCCACGTAATGCCACCCCTCACCCGGGACCTGCCTACGTTCAGCCACTGCTAACCCCGGCGGGGAGAAACACGCAGGGACTTATCCCAGGACAGGTGCCCGTGGGCAATGGCCTGCAGCCGTTCACATGTTGAAAAGCAGCTTGTTTCCTCCGTGAATAAGGAATGAGAGCAGCCCTGGGGAAACCCGTCGCGTGGGACACGCACTGAAGGCCCAAGCGGGTCGCTCCGAAACCCAAGGTGGAGAGTATAAAGAAATCACCCGGCCCGAGGGGGAACATCAGTGGTCACGGAGGCTCCAGCTCCTCTGACGAACTGGAGCTCGGTGCCACCGACCTCGAGCGCCGGGGGCCGGGCCGAGCAGAACCGCCGGGGCGCGGCGATGGCGGGACACCAGGCAGGGACGCACCCTCGGAGCTGGCTGAAGGACAGCGTGGCCCGCGCTGGCACGGGAAGCCTCGCAGCGGTGTGCCGACACCCGTGCACCCGGCCTCTGCTTCCAGGACGGTGCCGAGAAGCCTCTGGGCCGACTCCGGGCAGGCGGCCGAGCATCCCCTCGTGTGCTGCCGGGAGGGCTCAGCTCCTCCCCACGATTTCTGCACAACAGGCCGATGAAGCAAGAGCACCGCTGCTTTCCATGACACACGGACACGGCACGACGCTGCTAGTGGCCTTCCTTTCATCCCAGCACCAGGACGTCGTTAAGACAACAGAAAAGTAGCAGGAGAGGCGCTGAGATGAAAAGACTGGTGCCAGAGCAAACTCACTGGTGAAGGATAAGAGTGGAGCTGAGTGCCAGGGCATCGTGCGAGAAAACACCGCCGCGCGAGGGGGCAAAGGTCTTGCAGCTTTTGCACCCTACCGTACGCACCGACTAGGGTCAGGTCTGCACTGGGAAAGCGCGCATTTTTAACTATTCTAGCTGTAGCACGGACAGGAGCAGACATACTCCGAAGTTGCATCAGTTGGATACCCCGAGATAGAGCTGGAGGGGGACCTGACGCACATCCTCTCTCCTAGTGACGACACGCCTCGAATGAGAGGCTACCGCGAGAGAAGCAGCACAGACGCCCGCACCGGGACCCTCGGGGCAGCGCCATGCCACGCCACGCCAGCAACGTGAGGTGCAACAAGGGACTTGGCTCAATCTCCCGCCAGCACTGTTCTCCAGAGCCCAAACCCTTCAGAGCTATCTGGGTCTAAGGGGTCTCGCACTCCTCGCACAAGCCCCTGGTACCTTTAGAGAAGAAATCTCTCAGCAACAGGCAGAAAAATGGAAGTGATGGATGCAGAGCCTGTCTGTCCCCTTGGGGGCCGAGCAGCAGGGAGTTTGCTGGAGGGCAGGGCTGTGGGATCAGCACGTAAAGTCGTATTTTGGGAACTGAGATTCCACAAGTCCTCCCTCCGCGGAGAAAAACAGCAAGGAGACAGATTTTTTTTACTGTCTAAGAGAAGCGACAAGCCACAGGGTGGAGAAAGTTTCTGTTTAACTGGAGAGGCTGGGACAACAAGCTGGTAATTATTTAATGGGTTTTATACTGGAACGCAAACTCGGCTTTTTTCCGTCCCCGACTCAATCTTCTCCGCGATGCCTCGTTCCAAGACATTCCAGACGAACTATAATTGTACGGCGAGGCGGGCCAGCAGTCCTGCTGGCAACTCAAAAATGTGCACTTACGTAGCACCTCTTATCTGAGCAACGCAGGCTATTTCAACAAGAGGCCAGTAAATCCCCATCCCCATTTCGCAGACTAGAAAGCTGAGGCACAAAGCAAGACTCTGGGTTAAAGACCCGGGAGACAGGAACAGCCACCAGCATAAACCTGGCTCTCCTGACTGTGACTCCTTTGCTCCCGCCAACAGCCAGAAAGGCAGCGCTCTTACTTTGGAGGTCGGGGAGGGCAGCGCCGTCCCGAGCGGAAGCCGTCCTCGTCCCAGCGAGGCCGCTGACCTCCTCCCTGGCTAACAACAAAGAGCCGAGCCCGCTGCAATCCCGCCGACGGCCCAGAGGTGTCAGCATCTGCATGGCGAGGAAGACCGCGGCTACCCAGCAGCTGGATGCAGACACCGTCTGGGCTGCCTAACCTGAGCATGTGGAAATAATATACGTCTTCAAGTGAACTGTCTGGTTCTGGAGAAATAAAATAGGACATTCATAAGCAGTTACACCATCTGTCTTTATACCATCATCATCAACAACAAGGGGAAAAAATAGCTCTTTAAAATGGATGAGAGCCCAGGCTGACAGTAACCGGAAAAATGTGAGCTATGAATACCAATAAAGGTAGAAAAATGATTAAAAAACAAGGATACAAACGGCAAATTCCTCTCCCTGCTCAGCGTGCAGCCCACACCGACGCAGCGGCGCAGCCTGTTTTATCGGTCAGCCTCTCGAAAACAAAGCCACCGGCCGGGAACTCGCCGAGCCCCGCGCCGGCAACTCGGCTCTCGTCTCAGCCGCTCGTCTGCCCTGCCTGCTTGGACCGACAGGCTCTGGACCGCAGGACCAGGGCTTTATCTGTGCTTTGATTTTATTGCTAACACGGCAGAAACCTTCTGCAAGGCTGGTGCTTTCAGAGGGGAGGGAGAGGTAGCGGAAAAAAAGTTGCAGGAGATATGCTCTTCCATAGGACGGCGCCAGCCTTTCCAAGGGCAACTCGGGGATCCCCTGGCCCTTGG